GTCTTGAACAAGGTAAAGCCGCTGCAGCTAATGAATTTACTCTCCAAAAGAAAGTGTTTCAAGTCAAGACTCAACGCCGGTCCCTTCTCTGTTGCTTTCCTTTGATTCTGGGGACTCTGAAAATGAAAGAAAGATTTGTCCTCTCCCTATTTTTTCCTTCATTTCACTCTTGAGGTAAATTCCGTTATTGTGAGTTATTCGAAGAAGGTCAAGCGACTGAAGAGGAAGGAAAGCCAAGACTCAACATTAATGAGACAGATTGAACGAGGTAAACAGGAGGATCTGAAGGTCAAGCTCCTTATACTCTCTTCCCTTCCCTTCTTGAACAGTAAACTCGGTAAAGCATATTCTTTCAATTCATTCAATCAATCACCGGAAAGTGTTGAAAGTCAAGACTCAAGCAAGAGAAGATTCCTGAGACTGAACTACTGAACCGGAACCCATTTATTCTTTCTTTCAATTCATTCAATCAATCACCGGAACAAAAACTGGAGAGGAGAGTCAAAAAGGGGTAAAGCTCCTGAACCTGAACCGGATTGAACTGTAATGTAAAGTGGCTGAGCTCCGGAACCTATTTATTCACAAACACAGTAAACTGGGTAAAGCGGCTGGATGAGAGGAAGGTAAAGCTCCGTAACCTTTGACTCTATTCCCTTTACAGTGTTAATGAATTAGCTTACTTTCCAGTCGAGTAAATTCATTCAATCAGGGCAAGATGAATGAGAGTGAACGAACTGAACTCCTTCCCCTTATACTCAATTACCTGACCTATACCTATTTCCTATTTCTTCTTGAACTGTAACCGAATCAAATGAAGAAAGAGAAGCTCATTCACCTCGTCACCATTAATGAGAGAGACTGAACTTCTTCCCCAGAACCAGAACCTTTTCTTTTCCGATATTCCTTTCCCTGAACTTTCCCGTCTCGTAAATGAATGAAATCGTTCACCTTCCCCTGACGAGAAGAAAAGAAGAAGAAGAATCAGAGAATGAATTTCTTGAAGAATCAACATGAATGATCCTGAACTACTGAACCTGAACCTTTGATGATATTCCCTTGCTTGCCTTATTGAAGGAGGTAAAGCAGGTAAAGCAGCTGAGGATTGAATTGACTCTCCCTGAACAGTAAACACTATCGATGAATGAGAGTGAACTCGGTAAAGCTATTCCATTGCCTGAACTCAATAACTTGAAGAACTGTAACCTCTGTCTTCGTCTTCTGCCTTTGACTCTCCCTTCCCCTATGGATTCTTTCACTCAGTAAATGGGTTGGTTCATTCAGTAGCTCTTTTCTTGAACGAGATCTCTTCTCTTTGCTTTTCTTTCCTCTCGCTTTCAAGACGAAACAACATTAATTATCCTTCGCTCCTCTCTGTCTGTCTTAGCCTTTCTAGCTTTCTTTTATTACCTGACCCTGAACCCATTTATTCTTTCATGAAATCCGGAACAGAATTTACCTCCTTCTAGAATAGTTAATAGTTAAACCCTTGCCTTGGTTACGAGGTTCATGAGTCAAATCAGGTTCAGGTTCCGCCCGGAGAAAGAATATCCTTTACCGACTCTGGAAAGGTTAAAGAGTTTACCGAGTTTCCAGTTAAAGAAGAAAGAAAGAAATAGGCACAAGACAAGTTAAGTTATTGAGTAGTTCAGGAGAAAGAATAAAAGGAGTGAAAGAAAGAATGAATAGGGGAAGGTTAAGTAGCCACAGTATTCATATGCTCATCGTTACATCCTGCAGGTCGGGCGGAGTAGAGTTGCTGTGGTTTTTAGTAAGTCTTATACCTTACTACCCATCCATAAAACTGTTATACATACGTCTAGACAATGATGTGAAGCGATACAATACTTTCATATCTTTGCTAGAGATGTGTTTAAGTCTTGCAAGATCCTACCTGACCCTATCTGACCTTACCTTATCATGACTACCTGACCCTATCGAATTTTGGCCATATCCCACCTGACCCTATCGAATTTTGGCCATATCCCACCGGACCCTATCAGACCCTATCCTACCGGACCCTATCAGACCCTAAGACCTTACCTTATCATGACTACCTGACCTTATCATCAGTTAGACATATCTAACTTACCCTAAGACCTTACCTTATCATGAGGTAGTCCTACCCTAAGACCTTACCGGTTTTAGCACAAAGAGAGAAAGAACTAAGAACTAAGAACACACACTACTGCTATCCTTCTTAACAAATCTTATTAGATTAACTCTCTATTACTACCAAAAGAGACCCCACTCCACACCAGTACAGTACACACCTGTACACACCAGTCCACTCCAGTACACACCAGTGCTAACCAGTACACTCCATTCTGAAAAGGAGCCCAACGACAACGACCAAATATAAACAAAATCACACCATGATGTATCAAAAATACACAAATAAATGGGTTCTAGCCTCATTGAATTCTAAGCAAAAGAATTCTAAAGAGCTAGAGATATTTTTAAATCAGTTTTATGCCTATTTGAAGGAGAATAATCAATTCACAGGGGGAGAGGTTAAGAAGACCAAATCTCAATTGTATAAACATTCAGTATTTAATATTCTCGAAGAATATAAAGAGAAGTTGCCTTTAACTGAAATTGAATTACGTCAGCTACAACAGAAAATAGAAGATAACAGTATGAAGTTCGACGAGAGTTCAATATATACTGCAGTTCCTAACTTGATTAAAATCTTAATACGGAAAGATAAATTGAGTGCAAAGGATTATATAATTCACA